CCTGGTCAAACAGAGAATAAACAGTAGAATAAGGGGTGCCTGGGTGGCTCAGTCTGTTAAGCATCCGACTTGGGCCCAGGTCATGATCCCACATTTCGAAGGTTCGAGCCCCACCTCAGGCTCTGTGCTGACAGCTCGGAGCCTGGAGCCTGCTTCAGATTCTGGGTCTCCCTCTCTCTCTGTCCTCCCCTGCTTGCACTCTGTCTCTCTGTCTCCCAAAAATGAATAAATATTTTAAAAATAAAAAATAAATAGTAGAATAAGCTATAACCTAAATCTGTCTGGTTCTGTTGCCTATAATACAAAAAAAAAAAAAAAAATCAGAAGTTGTTTCATTCATCTGGCACTTCGGTCAACTTAAAATAAATACACTTTATAAAGAGGTATATGTTAATATCACAGCATAGGACAAGAAAAGAATGAAACAGCAACAACATGAAAGACGGCTTGCCCTCTGGGAGCTTACAATTAAGGAAAATGTTCACACATGCCAGCTAAGCAGTGATTAATCACTACCTGAGGGAAGCCATCAATAAGCAATACGGGAATTCATAGGAGCCTGGGCTCTGCATGTGGTTTCAGCAGTTAAGAAAGGCTCTATGGGGGGGTGCCTGGGTGGCTTAGTCGGTTAAGCGTCCGACTTTCGCTTAGGTCATGATCTCGCGGTTCATGGGTTCGGGCCCCGTGTCGGGCTCTGTGCTGACTGCCAGCTCAGAGCCTGGAGCCTGTTTCAGTCTGTGACTCCCTCTCTCTCTGACCCTCCCCTGCTCACGCTGTCTCTCTCTCTCTCTCTCCTAGAAATTTAAAAAAAAAAAAAAAATCTAAAAAAAAAGAAAGGCTCTATGGAAGATGCAAGATGGGTCCCGGGATGGGAAATGTCGGACCGGTATACAGAAAGGTATTGCAGGACAGGGAAACACAGAGCTAAGGATGAACATGACAAATGTGAGTAGCAGTGAAGAGGCCGGCAGGACTATTTCAAAAATTAAAGGACTGAGTGGAAATGACCCAAGTGTCCATCAACTGATGACTGAACCAGCAAAACGTGAAACACCCACATGATGCAACACTACTCAGCAACAGAAAGCAAGCACTGATATACACTACAACACGGATGAACCTCAAAAACGTTACGCTCAGTGAAAGAGGTTGGTCACAAGAGACCACATGCTGTATCATTTCATCCACATGAAATGCCCAGAAGAGGCAAATCCACAGAGACAGGAAGTAGGTTGGTGACCCCCAAAGGCTGGAAAGGGGGAGAAGAAGTGAGCAGTGACTGCTAAGATGATGAAAACGGTCTACAACTGACAGTGGTGATGGCTGCACAGCTCTGTGAAAACACTAAAATCGACGGACCTGCACAGTTACATGGGTGAACTGTAGGTAGCATGAGCTGCATCTCAATGATGCCATAAAAAAAAAGTTGAGGGCCTGATGGAACATCACGCTGCACAGCTAAGATGGAGCCACTTAGGCCAAGGTTAAGGGTCTAGAACTGATATGCAGTTAAAGATATTTAAGTAAAGATTTACCGAATGCAAGCACAGGATACTAATGTAGGGCCCTTCTCAAACAAAATTATTCACATATTTTAAGTACATTTCTAAAATATATGCCAAAATCGCGAAGAAGACAGAGAACAGGAAAATGATGATATGATAGGGCTTTGACTAAGCCACAAGCTGTGGCAATTAGCAAAGCTGTTTTGCTTCAGCACTGAATGCCACAGATGGATGTATCAGCATCGTATTTATGCAAAACCACAAATTCATCTGTGTAATGTCTTCATATACCGTAATGTTCTAAACTTGATTTTGAAAACTGCATTAACAATTGATCTGCCATATTTTAGGGTGAGATAAGGAACGCTGTAATTTGTTGTTCACTGGATGGCAGTCCTCTGCATATAATATTTCAGATACTAGATTCAACGCAAATGCTATCAGAACCTCCACTGACAGAAAGTTGGGCTAATGCAAACAAATGTGTCTGAACTCTAATGTAACATAATATTCCAAAAACAGTTTTAATACACAAAATAAGGAAGCTAGGGGTGCCTGGGTGGCTCAGTCGGTTAAGCATCCAACTTCAGCTCAGGTCATGATCTCACAGTTCGTGGGTTCGAGCCCCACGTCGGGCTCTGTGCTGACAGCTCAGAGCCTGAAGCCTGCTTCAGATTCTGTGTCTCCCTCTCTCTCTGACCCTCCCCTGCTCATGCTGTCTCTCTCTCTCTCTCTCAAAAATAAATAAAACATTTAAAAAATTAAAAAAAAAATAAGGGAGCTAAAGAAGCAAATCTGACATTCAAAAACAGGTGGGGGGAATCTGGATATTAAAGATCCAATACAAAGTAAAGAGTAAAGTACTCAAAAATAAACCTGAAAATCAAAAGAAAAAAAAAAATAGGTTTGGTTACAAGGTTCTATAGCATTGGGAGGTACGAGATGAAAAGAAAAAAAAAAAGGAATAGAGTACATTTAAAATAAAAGGCTCAAGGGGCGCCTGGGTGGCTTAGTCAGTTAAGCGTCTGACTTTCGCTTAGGTCATGATCTCGCGGTTCGTGGGTTCGAGCCCCGCATCGGGCTCTGTGCTGACTGCCGGCTCAGAGCCTGGAGCCTGTTTCAGTCTGTGACTCCCTCTCTCTCTGACCCTCCCCTGCTCGCGCTGTCTCTCTCTCTCTCTCCTAGAAATAAATAAAACATAAAAAAAAAAAAAATTAAAAAAAAAAAAACACTAGAAATTTAAAAAATAAATAAATAAAAAAAAAAAATAAAAGGCTCAATACGGGCAGATGAGGCTGTTAACAGAGAACTCATCTAGAAGACAATGCCACACCCACCCCTGAATCCTAGGGAAGAAAGAACCCTTTCAGGCAACGTGTTGTTTGTTATTCCTTCAGAAGCTGTCCTACTGGTGAAATCCCGAACCTATACACAACCAAACTAGTGTTCGCTTGCCTAGTCACCTTGCAAACCTCCTTCAAGGTAGAAGCGCCACAAGAAACTAAAGGAGACATCAGATCTCTTCTAAAACTCTCTTGTCTGAGAATGAGAGGACCCATCTGTCTCTGACGGGCTTTGTAAATTCCAGAACTGCATGAAACTTATGTTCAGTGTCTGAGAAATACAGACAAATAAGACGCCCCGGTTCACTAACAATGAAAGCAAAACAAGAAAGGGCTCCTAAAAAAGAAACCTTGTCATTGATATCTGGAATTAGGTATCTGCTGTCGAAAGTTAAGTAGAGTAAGACTCTCCGTTTCCTAACTGGAAGCCAGAATTTATGCGAAAGAGAATTCAGTGGGAGGGAAGTAGGAACTTATTATACAAATCAGTAACTGCTGTATGTTAGCAGAAACTTATCCAAAGTCTCATCAATTATCGACCTACTCTAAACAAAAGAACTATGAGAAAAGGCAGAAGTTTACAAGTATTGTTCACCATACTGGACATGTTAATTATTAAGGAATACAGTACTTCAACTATAACACAATAAAGTATCAAAAAAAGGTTAAACATGGAATTATTCTCTGTGTAAACACCAAAAACAAGTACTCTTAATTCATACATAAATAAAAGTTTTCTGGAGCGCATGATTTCGCCGTTTGTGAGTTTGAGCCCGGCGTCGGTCTCTGTGCTAACAGCTTGGAGCCTGAAGCCTCCTTCCAATTCTGTGCCTCCCTCTCTCTCTCCGCCCCTCCCGTGCTCATGCTCTGTCTCTCAATAATAAATAAAAATGTTAAAAATTTTTAATAAATAAAAGTTTTCTTTTAAATAAACAGGGAGAAATCATGACAGCGTGCTACCAAAGATCCCCAAAAGAGGCGAAATAACACTAACGTAAGGTCTAATACACAGAAAGATTTTCAAGCGATAGAATTATTAAAGAGAATGGTCTAAATTGTAAGCACGCTACAATTCTGACTACACTAAGCGCAGAAACCCAAGAAGCCATGAAAAGGCTAAAGATTAATTCAGAGAATGAAAGTCATAGCGAAGGACTGTGGGGTTTTTTTGGTTTTTGTTTTTTTACAGAATCCTCCACTGACGAACACGGGACCAGAGGCATGACCTATAAATTAGAAAGGAAAGCAGGAAACTTGGCCAGCACCTGAACCTGGCAGTCCTGACCTAAGCTAAGGAAACAAGGATGATAAATATCTCAGCAGGTAAATAACACCAGGTTTCAAAATCAGATTCTAAAACACAAAAGTGAAAAGTAATTTGCCAAGGGGAAAACATGCCGCGGCAAGTCAAAGAAAAAATTTTAAAACAAATGGGACACAAAACGCCTTGGGAAAATTTCTGCTTCTGAAGTATTTTCACAGCTAAATTCATTCATGTTCACTGCGTTAGCTTTTAGGAAGCTAACGCCAAAGTTTTTTAAATAGTTGAAATTCTGTAAATATGTGCCATAACCGCTTGCAATGAGCAAGTTTGCAGAGCTTGTGAGATTAAACTTACATGAGAGCAGGCTCAATCACATTTTAAAATCTTTCAGACAAAATCGCTGAGCTTACATAGCAAAAGTAATATAAAACAGGATGTCCTGAGTAACAAATTGAACTACCCTCTTTGTGCGGGGTTTTTTTTTCTTTATAGCAAATAGCACCTAACATTCCGACTCTATGATTAACTTAAAATTAATCACTGGACATTCTTTAAGTCTCATCTAAACTTACGGGAGAGAACAACCAAAGCCAGAAAATAAGGATGAGATCAAATTCAAACGCTTCGCTGTTCTATTCCTCCTCCTCCAAGAAATATTCTAGAAGTTGGCGGTCTTATTTGATCTCCGTTCTCAAATGTGGAAGTCCGTACCAACACCTTATAACACAATTATGTTATGTGCTACATAATTATGTTATGTGCTACACATGCCAAAGTACTCTATTCAAGTAAATCTGAACAGAACCGGAACATGACATTTCACAAGCGTTCATCCGTGCAGCCACAGGCAAGAGGCAACAATTTCACAGAAAAGACTTCGGGAAATACCTGAGCAGATAAACAGCCCTTTCAATATCACTGAGGTCTTCATCGACTGTCAACCTTTCTATTTCTTCTGGTGTCTGTCAAGTGTAAAATAACAAAAAAATATATAAATTATGCACACAACCTAGGGTCAGTCCGCGCCCCCCCCCTCCGTGACCCTCCGGGAACCCCACATGAGTAGAAACTAATGAAAAAAGTTTCACAATTAAACATCATCACTGAAAACTAATCAAGAGTCTGAGGACTCCAGATGCCGGCCTCAACCACAGAGGTCTCTAATTGTCTCGAATTGTTGGGTTTGGGTGGTGCAGTTTAGAGGTTGTTTTTGGTTTTTTGTTGTTTTGTTGTTTTTTTTTAAACTCTTCCAGCTTCTAGACTGAAGCTTGCGAATTACATTGTGGCTTCGGAACACTGTTGTTTAATCGAGTTTAGAACTCGATTTTATAGGCATATACATACATACTTTTAAATCTCTTATACCCCAAGGAGGCTTTTCCGGCATTTTCTACCCCAGGAAATGCTAAAGGGAGGGGATGGATGCAAACTGCAACCGAGTGAGAACGAAAAAGACGAAATGTGGAGTGGGGGGAGGGAATGAACTGTGGGGCTGGAAGGAAAGCAAACATTCGCGATATTGCGGCAGGTGGGAGTGAGAGGAGCTTAGGGAGCTAGTGAGAGGGCGGCTGGGGGAGGGGGTGGTCCGTAAAGTAGGTTTGCCGGCAGTGAGGGTTGGAGGCTGGGGCCAAGATGACTCTGCGGGGTGGGGGAGCAAACTAAAGGCTGACGCCCTCAAGGCGGGTGGGGATCAGGGTCCCGGCTGGCGTCCTGGAGGGGCTGGCAAGAAAGGACGTGCAGTGACTCAGGAGCGGGGACCAAGGGTCGAGAGGGCTCTGAAGATCGGGAGCAGGACGACTCCGGGAGGGGTGCTGGGGGAGGAGAAGGGAGCCAGGCTGACTTGAGGGCACAGGCGCCCGATCTTGCTCCGATGGAGGAAGGGGCGAACGAGATCCGGGGTGTCTCCGGGAGGGGGGCAGGAGCTGTGATGACTGAGGAGTGGGACGGGGACAGGCGTTGGGGGGGTGAGCACTCAGGAGGGGGACCCGGCGGCGGCTAGAGGGGCAGCTCCCGCAGGGCGGAAGGGTGAGGGGGTGAGGGGCCAAGGCTGTCCGAGAGGGACGGCTAAGGGGACGCCGCCGGGCCGGCCGTTCCTGGGGGCGGGTTGGGAAATGGGTCCGGGGCGGGGGACCGGGGAGCCCAGGGCGTCCGAGGGGCCAGTCCCTCGGGAATTCAGGTCCGAGCTGGGAGAACCGGGGCTCCATCGAAGCAGGGGCCCCGGCAGGGGCCGGTTTAGGGTGACACGGCGACTGGAGGCGGACTGAGGTGCCAGCCCGACTCCCGAGAGGGTCCCGGGCCGCTCGGGAAGGAGAAGGGGACGGGACGGGGTCGGAGCGCGGGCCAGTCGCCAGGCGCCCTGCGGGCAGCTCCTCCTCCCGGGGGCGCACCTTGAGGCTCCGGCGGACCGGCCTCTCGATGATGGTGAGCTCCTGCAGGTCCTCCATGTAGCCGAACAGGCTGTTCTGACTGAAATCCATCGCGTCGGCGGCGGGCGGCGGCGGATGCATGGACCGCCGGGCCCCCTCGCCGCCCGGGCCAGAGCGGCCCCGGGATGCCGGACGCTCGCAGCCCCGCGACCGCCCACCAGCAGGACTTTCTCCCGCTCTCGGCCGCGGGAGCCGGGGGGGAGGCTAGCTGGCGGCGGGAGAAGGAGCGCGGCCGCCGGGGGGGCGGGGCGGGCCAGGCGAGGGGGCGGGGCGAGGCGCGCGGGCGTGCTGCGGGGGCGGGGCCAGGGGCGGGGGCGGGGCCAGGGGCGGGGGCGGGGCCACGAGCCCGCCTCAGCCCCGCCCCCTCCGGCGCCGCGCGCTCGCGAGCCGGACGCAACTGCCGCGCTACGCCGCGGTCGCCCCCACCGCCCTTCTGCGCCCTCCTCTCCCCGCGCCCCGCCCCGTGGCGCGTGCGCAGAGCCTTCCACCTCCTGCAGCCTGCGGAGGTGGGTTGGGGGCGGGGACCGGGAGCTGAGAGACTGAACCTGTGACCTGGGCGGCAAAAGAGGGGGAGGTGGGCCGCTGTGGTGTTTAACCTGATGGACTAACCTTCCAGTTCCTCGCGTGATCGCGCACTCCCCAGCAGGCGAGCTGTGGACTTGGAGATCACCCTGGCGCAGCTGTAGCCCTGGGGGGGGATGTGTACCCAAAAATGAGCAGTTACCACGTGGTGTGTGCCCGGGTGATGGGGGAATAGGGTCCTGCAGAAGCTTGCGTTTGGGTGGGGCAGCGGCCCAGTAAGGACTCCCGGAGGGGAGACAAACTGCATCTTAAACGATCAGTTAAGACTTTGCTAGAGAAATAAGACTAAGCCCATTTCGAATAGAAGTCTAGGCGTGTTTGGGTTGTGGGAGGTAACGCTGGGCGTGCAGGGAAAGCGACTGCTTGGCAAAGTGGGTGGAAGGGAGAGGCAGGTCCTTTGTGGAGAAAGGCCCTGCTCTGGGCAGGCACGCTTGAGTCGCTTGCATTTGATTTTGTTAAGAATAGGAAGCCATGGGAAGGGGATTGGGCCGTTTTTTCGTGCGTCCGGGACAAAAGTTGTGTCGATCATGCTGCTTCACCAACAAGGCCCCTCTTTTTAATTTTATTTTATTTTCCACCCATTTCCTGTCCACACTCCCATTTCTCTATCCCCCATATGCATCCGATCTTTTTTTAATGATTATTTTTGAGAGAGACACAGGGACAATTGGGAGAAGGGCAGAGGGAGAGGGAGACACAAAATCTGAAGCAGGCTCCAGGCTCTGATCTGTCAGCACAGAACCCCGCCCCCCGCCCTCCGTGGGGCTTGAACCCACTAGGAGATCGTGACCTGAGGTGAAGTCCGATCTGAGCCATTCAGGCACCCCACACCCTCTCTCTTATATTTAACACATGTTCAAATATATGTGCATATCCTCCAAAAATGCTGTTGGTTTCTGTGTTTTTAATATACATGAAAGGTATTGTGCTAAGACTCTTTTTTCTTTTTTTTTTCTCAACATAATGTCTTAATGATTCATCCATAGGGCTATCTATATATACTACGAGTTGATTAGTCCTGACCGCTAAGAGCATTCAGTTAGTGCATCTAACTCATTTTACTTAGCGATTCCTTCAAAATGGACAGTTAGGTTGCTAGCCGTTCCTTGTAACCACAGACAACACTGCATGGTATTAGACGTGTCCCATTAGAAAGAAATGAAACTGCCAGGTCATGGAGTGTACACTGCTTGTTTTCACTCTGCCAAGTTTCCCTCTAGAGTGGCTTTGCCAGTTTGCAATGCCAGCAGTGGTACACGAAGACAGAGTCCTGTTTTCCCACTTTATATGCTAACCTTTGGTATTAACCAATGTCCTCATTTATATCAATTTGATATCAGGAAAGTATAATCGCATTGTCATTTCATTGAGTTTTTTGGTTGATAAGTGATGTTACCCATTCTTCCATATACTTAAGAACCGCTGAAATTTGTTCCTTCTGTGAATTACCTATTTACATCCTCTGCCTCTTTTTCTGCTAGATTTCCTATTATTTTTCTGAATGAAGGGAAGGAGTTTTTTTAATCTGTTCTAAATATTAATCTCCTGTCAGTCTTAGACATTGTATGTACTTCTCCCAATCTTTTACCCATCCTATTAGCTTGGCCTTTGCTATCCTACAGTGTAGGGGAAATCAGTATCTTAATGTAAACAAATACATCTAATTTGAGCCTTGTGTAGTGTGTTTTTGAGGGATCTTGTCTAAGAATCTTTTCCTACACAAAATATTCTCCTACATCTTCCCCTATTTAATAACTTCATCCTTTTACCTATCGTGGTTAGGGCTTAACTCATCTGCAGTTCACCGGACATATAGTACGACCGGGAATACAATATTATTTTCCCTGCATAGTCTGCCAATCTGCCCAGCAGTACCCACCAAACAATCCCGTCTTTTCCCCACTGATGCGTGATGGCGTCTGTGTCCTACACCAAGTCTTAACAGCTGCACGTGTCTGTTTGTGGGCTCTCGTGACTGCTCTGTTGATCTAGATCTGCTCGTACGCCAGCACTGTACCGATTCTATTGTGGTGTTCTCGTTGTACGTCCTAATGTATGAGCCCTCCCACACTTTGCTCTTTTTTTATTCAATACTGCCTCTGAAGTTCAAAGGAAAAACGGTCAGTGGTTACCCAGTGGCTAAAGTCCAGTTATTCCGATCCCTGCTCCACATTATGGAGGGATGAAGGGAAAAATGGAGCTTGAAGAGATCAGGATGCAGAGGAGGCAGGGTCGCGGGTGCTTTTCCCTAGCAATACCTTGCAGCCTTCCTTTTCTGTCCGTGTCCAAAATTGTCCTCTTTACCCCTCGCTTATAACCGATAGTGAATAATATTTGTAAACTTTGCCCTGTTTCAGCGAAGAAGTATTATCTCCTATCTACGTTTTGTAACACCATCATTTGAGACTTGATGATATCCTTCAATGAAAAATCAATTGAATACACAGGCATAGCTTTGATGTTGGCCGTTACCTGCAGGAGACTGATGAAGGGAACTTGTTCTGTTTCGTGACTAGAATCTGTTAACTGCTGTAGTTACCAGCCTGTGGGAGAAAGAGCCTGCCCCAGCGTGGCTGCCAGGAAAACTGCGTCCCAGTCCCAGCTCTGCCAGTGACCTGCAGTGGACAGAGTCTTGGAGCCCTATTTTCCTCATCTGGACTGCTTTTCTTACAATTTGTCTCCATGCATCCTAGAAGCCACCCTGTGAAGTACAGAAGAAATGCGCCACTATTCCAATTTTACCGGCCATGAAATTGAGGCTCAGGCACAAGCACACAGCTTAGGGAAGCTAGATTTATTCATTTCATGTATTCATTCAACAACACGGTGGTTAAGTGCATGGACTTTGGAGCCCAACTGCCTGATTGGTCCTGATCAACTGCCTAAAATGCTGGCTTTCCTACTTCCTATAGTGCAAGGTACTTAACTACTCTGTCCCCCTCTTTTCTCTACGATCAGAATAAAAGTGGTACACAGCACAAAGTCTTTTTTTTTAATGTTTATTTTTGAGAGAGAGACAGAGCATGAGCCGGGGATGAACAGAGAGAGGGAGACACAGAATCTGAAGCAGGCTCCAGACCCTGAGCTGTCAGCACAGAGCCCAACTTGGGGCTCCAACTCATGGAACTACAAGATCATGACCTGAGCTGAAGTCAGATGCTTAACCGACTAAGCCACTCAGGTGCCCCCGGAACAAAGTCTTATATGAATTAAATGAGATACTATGCCCACAATGCTTAGAGAAATTCCTGGCCCATAGCAAGGATTATTTCTACCAGACCAGTGTTCCCTGTACGCAGGCTCAGAGAAGATTCAATAAATTGTGCTGAATCCGTTGATTCTTGTGGCAGCTAGAATAATGTTCTCCCAAAGAAGTCCATGTCCTAATCCTCCGAAACCTGTGACTTTGTAACCTTACCTGGCAAAAGAGAGTTTGAAGATGCGCCTAACGCAAGGGCCTTGAGATGGAGAGATTATCTTGGATTATCCAGGTAAACCCAGTAGAATCATAAAGGTCCTTACGAGTGAAAGAGGGAGGCAGAAAATTCAGCAGTGAAGTTCAGATGCAAGAGAAACGACCAGCCATTGCGAGCTTTGAAAATGAAGGGGCCCACAAGTGGTCAGGTTTTAGAAGCTGAAGAAGTGGCACCTGGGTGGCTCAGTTGGTTAAGCGTCTGACTTTAGTTCAGGTTAAGATCCTGCAGTTTGTGAGTTCAAGCCCCGTGTCGGGTTCTGTGCTTACAGCCCAGAGCCTGGAGCCTGCTTCAGATTATGTGTCTTCCTCTCTCTCTGCCCTCCCCGACTCATACTCTGTCTCTCTCTGTCTCAAAAAAATAAATAAGCATAAGATAAATTTTTTTTTTAAATATTTACTTATATTTGAGAGATAGAGACAGTGTGAACGGGGTAGGGGCAGACAGAGAGGGAGACAGAATCCAAAGCAGGCTCTAGGCTCTCAGCCATCAGTGCTGAGCCTGATGTGGGGCTCGAACTCACAAACCTCGAGATCATGACCTGAGCCAGAGTCAGACACTTAACTACCTGAGCCACCCAGGCGCCCCAAGACAAAATTTTTTTTAAAAAGCTGAAAAAGAAATAAGTAAACTCTCCTAGGGCTTTTTGATGGGAATGCAGCCCTGATGGCACCTTGATTTTAGCCCGCTGAAACCCAGTTCTAACTTCCAGAACCATCAGATAATAAATTTGTATTGGTTTAAAGGCACTTAGATGGGTGGTAGTTTGTTGCAACAGCAAAACTAAAACTAAGCAATTATCTCTATGAGAAAAATACTTAAATTAGATTACTACCTCAGACCATACATAAAAATGTCAGGGGCGCCTGAGTGGCTCAGTCAGTTGAGCATCCAACTTGGGCTGAGGTCATGAGCTCACAGCTCGTGAGTTTGAGCTCCGCATCAGGCTCTGTGCTGACGGCTCAGAGCCTGGAGCCTGCTTCAGATTCTGTATCTCCCTCTCTCTGCCCCTCTGCTGCTCACGCT